CCAGCGGGGCTCGCCGGGCGGGGCGGGACGGGCTCTCGGGGCGCTCTCCCGGGGCGCGCGGAGTCCACCTGCTAAGTGAAGGTTTTCTCGGGCAAACAACAAAGAAAGAAGGTGTCCCCTCCTTCCTGAGCCAAAGTAAAGACGGCCGGTGACTGGCCCCGCCGCGCTCCTTCCCGGCTGCGAACTCTTCTCCTCCTCGCCAACACTTTTCACTCGTTCCTCCTCGGAGTAGTTAAAACTTTTTTCGTCCTGGAAGGCGTGGTGAGGCGGGCTGCTCGCGCGTGCGGAGCAGCAGAGGGGCGACGGGCTCCGGCTCTCCCCCTCCGGTCCTCTGTTAGCAAGTTTTGTTCTGTCCTACGAAAACTTCTTGCGATCGTGCATTTCTCTGAAGTTGCTATTGCCAGAGCTCTGGATGGCCTCTGAAACAAGCGTCCTTGTGCATTCTCCTCGCGACACGCACAGTCTGATGCGACATCTTTCCTTTTGGGCAGAAATTAGGAAACAAATATAACAAGGAAGGAAGAAAAAAAAAGGAACAGGCAAAAATGATGTCGAATTGCTCTGTTACCTTGCTGCTGACGGTTGGGGTTGTTGGTGTTTTATTTTTTTCCCAGCAGTTGTCTGGAGAAGGAGGAGGAAGAAGAGTGCATTGGTAGAGGTTGAGGTGTGTGTGTGCATATAGGGGATCCTTGATACACAGACCAACTCCAGTGGGCACGTTCCACTGCTCGCAGAGTGCACCGACGGCGGGCGGCTGGAGCTGGCCAAGCCGGAGCAGAGTTGCCTCGCTCTGCGCCCTGGTTCGCGCTCTCTCTCTCTCTCCCTTTCTCACTTTCTCTCTCCCTCCCTCTCTCTCTCTCTCTCTCTCTCTCTCTCTCTCTTCCTCTCCCTCTCTCGGGCGCCCGCACTCGCTCCGCGATCTGACAGTTCGCTCTCTGTCCCTCCCTCTCAGAGCAGGGACTGTCGAATGTTTACCCTCCGCCGCAAGCGCGCACCCACCACCACACTTTCCCAAATACAAGGAAGTCGAGCACCAGGGCTCCCGCTGATTGGCTACCTGCTGGGTGATTGGCAGGCCCGGAATGACTGGCTCAGGACGCGCGGCCCCCCTTCCGGCCGTTCCGATTGGTTGCTTTTTAATTTAGGCAGAGCGTCGTAGAAGCTGGAAATCTGTCGCCCCCCTTCCTTGCTCCCTCCCCATCGCCTCTTTCCCCTCCCCGCCAACCCCCTCCCGTCCCCTCCGCCACATCTTAACTCTTAGTGTCCGGCCCAAACGTTGGCGTTCCCTCGCCGGCTCCGGGCGTTCGGGATAATTCTGGGAGGGGAGGAAGAAAGGAGAGCGAAAAAGAGAGGGAGGGGACGAAGAAGAGGAGGGGGGGAGCGATTGGGAGGAAAACGAAGGGGTGGGGTTGGGGGAGAGGGAGAAAGAAAAATAGCAACCGAGCCACCCCGCCCTGTGCTGCACCCGGACCCCACCACCCCCTCGCCGGAGATTTTGTAAAGCGCGCGTCACAGATGCACCATTCAAGCTAATACCTATAGACAGATGTGTCCCCAGTGGGTTTTCAAAGTTTCCTCTCCTCTCCACGCGCCGGCCCCCATCTCCCTCTCGGTGGGGGTGAAGGGGAGGTCGCCTCGCCGGGAACTCAGGTGGCCGCGGTCCTTGGAAATCCGCCACCGCAACTTTCTGCAGCCGCGGCGCGCCGGCGGCAGCCCTCTTTGTTTAAGTTCTCGGGTGCCATCATCTGGGAAACCCGCAAGCCCAGGACCTGCGCGGTGCCGGCGCGTGCGAGACGGACGGCTCTCGGCCGTGACTCGCTCTCCCCACCCCCTTCTCCCTCTCCCCCCTTCTCCCTCTCCGGTGCTCCCTCCCTTCCCTTCTTCCCACCCTCCTCTGGGATTCAGGCAAGTAGCGTGCGTGCCCTTGTGAGTTCGGAGGGTGCTGGTCAGCGGAGCCTCGCCACGTATTTGAAAAGCAATCAGTCCGACCTTCCCCCATACATTCATCGTAAGTGTATTCGCCCCTGATTCCTCTAGGATTCCCATTGGAATCCAGCCCGAGTGGTCCACACAACTGGGGTGTACTAACCTCGCTCTCCACCGTGTGTGTGTGTGTGTGTGTGTGTGTGTGTGTGTGTGTGATTTCAGTGTGATTGTTATTAGCGGTGGTGTTTTGCTTGCTCCCTTTCTTGGAAATGGGTGATTTCCACTCCCCCTTTCTTTTCTATCTCTGATGGATTTTGCATGGTGGATAGGACTGGCAGCTACAAACGCTTCCTCAGCCCCTACCCGGCTGCTGAAAGAGTTAAGGGGGCCGGGAGGGGGAGTGTGCTGGGTAGGCGGGAGAAGCGGGGGTGGGGTGGAGTAGGGTGGAAAGGGGGGGGGGACGCGGCCAAGCGGAAACGCTGCACAGAGGAACCTCAGCGAACCAAGAAAAAGGAGAAAGTGGCAACGAAAACAAGAGCAAATTGAACCCTCCTCGGGGATTTCCAATGAACTAACCCAATTCGGACATTCAATAAATACATGGTTTCTAATGAGTGTGCGTGTGCATGCACCCTACGCTCCTAGCTGCGGGTGCCCGGGCCGTAGACCCTCCACTAAGTCCCCAGTCCTGAACGGCGGCCCGGGATGTAGGGTGTAGTGGTAGGAAGGTCGGGACGCCTCGATTATAAAGTGAACGGGCCTGCTCTTCTCCTCTCCCGAGGCAAGGTTCCTGTGTCCAGCGCAGTTAGTGGAACTCACTGCCTGAGCTCTGTAATCCAGAATTATTAGTACGCAGCCTCTTTGCGGTTTTAAGATTAGCACGAGAAGCGTAGAATTTATATAGGATCTCGTCCAGCTCCTGCTTGCCGGTGAAAGATACCATCGTAGGTAGGTTGCAGAAAAGTATTTTTTTTTTTTTTTGGCCAAGGAGTAGATCTAAAAGACAGCGATAACCAATCCCCAAACAGAACGAATTTCTTCCCTCCACGTTCCCCAAAGCCTCCTTTTTATATTTATGTATGAGGATATGTATATATATAAAATAGAACACAGATTTCATTGAATAAATCTGAGATCTCCAGGTGCAGACGTTTGAATAGTCGGTGCCAGCACCCCGTGTTTTCCTTTCCTGCCGATTTTGCTTGGATCCGGCTCAAAAACCGAGAGTCTCGTGGTTTTGTTTACACTGAATGGGGAGGATAGGAACAGAGCCATGGGGCCGCCTTTCATTAATATACAGTGAGGATTTTGTCTAAATTACTGCTATGAATTTCACAGTACACGCTTTCAAAAGCAGTCTCAGGTGGCCCGATGAAACGTGATAGCGCCTTTGCAAACAGATCCACTTTCTTTCTTTCTTTGCAAGCTGTGTGTGTGTGTGTGTGTGTGTGTGTGTGTGTGTGTGTATGCGCGCGCTTGCGCTTGCGCTTGCGCTTCTGGGAAGCCTCCCCAAAACGCTGTGCTCCTCGATAACAGAAATGCACTTCTGTTCCGAGGTCTGGCCCCTTCTACCTCCCCCCTTTCCACGTACTTAGTTCTCGAATCGCTCCCCAGCCTCCCTTACCCCCGCCCTCCCTTATCCACCCCCTCCCTTCGAGGAGTGTGATTGTTTTGTCTGGGAAAAAAAAAATCCAAAGTATATAACAAGGGGAGAACAGTTAGTGCTGATTTTCATTTGCATACATTTTCATATATTTTGGTGAAAATAATAGACTAGTGAGAGCTGGGCTTACAGGAGTCAGTGTGAGGAGAGGCTAAGGATGCACCGGTTCTGGAGAATTGAGAATATACCTTCTTCTCCACACCCTAGGCACCTTATTTTATTTTTTAAAAATAAACACCTCCTTTTATTTAAAAACATAACCTTGGAAGTTTGCTCGGTAAGTGTTTTTCATTTTCTTTCCCTGCTTTCTCTTTCAACCTCTCCTTCCTTTCTGGTGTATTTATTTATGTACTTGTAGGTTGGGGAGCTTATTTTCATTGCTTGGGACAAGAGAGGGTTCACAGAGGAACTGCCTGAAAGAAGGAAAGCGAAGTGTGTTGGAGGGGGAGCATAAAAAGTCCAACCCTGCTAAAATATTACATAAAAGATGGACTCATTCCAAAGATACACACACTGCAAGGTTCTTTACTCTTGGGGGGGGAGAGGCATAGAATGCTATTAATTTTAATTGTTGATCATGAGGGGAGAAAGCCTTGGAAAAAGAAGTGATTACTACAGTATATCAATACTTCTTATTTTCTTAGGGAATGAAAACTAGAGGGGAAGAAGCCCCTTCTGTAGCTAGTAGGAAGGTACAGAGCTGTGGGGAGCCTGTGGGATTGGAGGGGGGCTCACGATCGGAGCAAGGGGATGGGGTAAGGAGGGGGGCCGGGGAAGGGAGGGCAAAGAGCTGGTGAAGGAGGAAGCGATGAGGGAGAAGAGGCAGGAAGTCAATGCACCTCTGGTTAATGCTGTGTCTGGGAGCAAGAGGTTGAGTTGCAGCCTCCCAGCTCAGTAGTGAAAGCTTATCAGGAAAAGGGTGATCAATCAAAACTAACCAGGACATCTCTGTACTTTATCCCCAAAGGAGGCTGGAGCTTCAGCTTTGAAAACTACATTTTACAGTGTCTTTTTTTTTTGACAGCCCTGTGTGCCCCCCTTCCTTATCTCTGTTTTTTTTTTGTCAAAATTGAGGGTACACTTACTACAAGTAGTAATGACAGAAATTTGGCAGAAGGAACTAGCTTGACCATGTCCAGGTTGTTGTGAACGTCTTGCCTTAGTGAAATAGGCCAGAGATGATTTTAAAAAAGCTTTTGTTTTTATTTTTTATTTTTATTTTTAGTCTTGTTCTTGTAAAGGAAACTGTGTCTGGGGTGTTGGGGGTGGGGAGGGGAAAGCAAACGGCTGGAATTTTATTACACTTTTGTACACCTTGCAATTTCGAGTTGGTAATTTATTTGGAAACAGTTGATGCCAAATCAATGAAATGGTTTGTAACAAGGGAGGAAGAGGTTTCGGCCGGGGAGGGGGGGGGGCAAAGATTCGCCAGTTTTCCACTCCTTGTTTATGTGCTTGGCAGCATTGCATTTGACTGAGGTTAACTCTGTGTGCTCCGTTGGACCAGATGCCATATAGAGCTGCTCCCTGAAGATCATTTGTTTCCTTGATGGGGAACATTTCTGAGCAGAGCATATTGGTTGCCATAGAGAAAGAAATAAAAGGAAGAACACTAGTCACATTAAGCTATATGTTTGTGCACTGGGCTTTAGATAAAAGGACCTTGATTCAGCCAAAGAGAAGAAGCCAAACTAGAGATTTCTAGTGCCACTAAAACTAGCTTTATTTTGTTTTGGACTTTTACAGTTGAAACATATAAGCTAATTTTATTGGTTGTTGTTAATTTTATATGACACGGTTTACTGAACAAAATAAACTTTACTCAGGAGTAGCACCATGAGCTAGTCAGCAGGGGGCGCACTGAGTCATTGTAGCTAGTGCTGAGTAAAATGTAGCCGGTTCAAAAGCAAATCTGCTCTTCCAAACTTGCCAAAGGAACAAACACCTCTACCTTTCTATGCATATTCACGAGTCGTGGATGCATAGCATAACACAGAGTTTTTAAAATATGAGGACAATGACTCCCCTATTCCCTCCCCCCTGAAATGGTTCAGGAAAGAAACAGAGTGCAAAGAGAGATCTCCCTAGAAATGGGTAGTGAAAGCAAGGATACTTAAAAAAAATATTACCACAGTTACCTAATAGGATACTTAAGACACTATCTTTACAGTTGTGTTCCCTGCCTCCCGGGGAGGAGGGGGAGTCAAGAAAACAAAATGCATTCTGTATTATCTGTTAAATAATGGATTTTCTTCAACTTGATACACATTTGGCCCTCTAAATAAAACTCGAAACAGTAAAGATGTATCCAAGTGCCTAAGATCTCTTTTAGTTCAGGTGATATTGAGTGGCTACTTTTATTCGGGATGATTTCGGAAAGTCTTTGGATTTACTCTTGAAAAGAAAGACTTGATATTCAAAGGGCAATACCAACTAGCCATGGTTAGATATCTGTCTTTTAGCCCAATATTACTTAATCCAGTTGCAGAAGCCTTTAAATAGAGCACAAAGTTTCTGCCTGAAAGATTTTTAAGTTCTGTGAAAGAAGAAAGTTTATCATGGTTAAAGCATGAAAAACAAACAAAAAAAAAGATGTGGAAATCTTCCTAAAATAGTGAAGGGCAGATCCTGGCGGGGTTAGAGGCATCAGTCAGTTTGTTTCTCTGGAACAGTTTTCCCAAGGAGATTTAGAGAGCGTGACTAAGAAAGAGAAGCCAGCAGTGACTGGAAGTGTGAAGCTGCCTTGCACGGTTAGCTGGCCTACTGCACCTGCAAATGTGGCAAAGAACCTGCCAGGAAAGGGCACGATTCCGAAAGCTTTGCTGTTCCTCTGCTGCAGGGAAACCCGCCACCCATTTCTTTCCAGCTGAGCTCCCAGCCAAGCAGGGTCCAGTAGTGAGACGTTTTCTTTGAAACTAATTTTAGTAAGTCAGGGATTGGATTGAAGTAGTAGTTCATCTTGGAGGGTTGAGATTAGGCAAATAGACTAAGCAAAGGGGACACACGGAGACACTTTCATTCTATGATTTTCATCCTCAAGCTTTTGCATTTGAAGTCAGAAAATATACTATCAGATTTTGTGCTAATAAAACAAAGTGGACCAGAACAGAGGGAACTGTAATCTGAGCTCAAATGTGGCTTTTTCTCAGTGCTCTGGACAATTCAGACAAAAGAATTCTAGGGGATATCCACATGAATTGGACAAATAGTTCAGCCTCAAAGCTCTACCTCTAGCTTATTTTGCATTCCCATGGTTGTCCAGAGCATTTAAAAATATTTTACAGAAGGGAACTTTTCTCTTAATTTGGATATTTTACAAAACCACTGGTGACGTGATCATTATGCATACTTAGAGCAAGCCTACGTAGGAATCATTCTTCCTGAGATCTATGATTGTTCTAGGTTGCTGTTTAATTTCCTTTCATGCAAATGTGCTTTAAAAAGATCAGGGAAGTTAAAAATTCTCGATCCTCTTGATTTCTACATTTTTAGTTAACCTGTAGTAAAAGAAACAGTATATGAATTCTACGCAATGCAACAAGTTAACTGGAGAAGCGCTGGACATTATAGGGAAATCCTTCAGCATTCTGTCATGATTTGAGGAGTGGAAATGATCAAGCTAAGTATGAACTAAGATCCAAACTGCTAGACAAACCTACAGACTTTTCAATTGTTGGAGACAGTGAAATTGCTTTTGCCAAATGAGAAAATGAAGACTATTACCTGGGTCAAATGTACAAAGTGGGTGTTTACTAATTTGCTTCTGTTTGAGAATGATGAGGTTCTCCATACTGCTGTAGAGTGGAAGCACAATTTCCCTTAGCATCTACACATGAAAATGTTCAACATACCATCCACACCATGTGTTCTATCCAAAGAGGAAGGCTCTGCAAAAGTAGCTTTTGATGGGAAAAGAATTTATTGTGTGGGTACTGCAGCACTTGTTCTTTGGGCTTGCTAAGGGTTTGGAAGTGTGGGTTCAATTTTATTCCCTGTTCACCTCCATTTTTCATATCACTTTGATAACTGATTATCTGATCTGGAGAAAGGGAGAAGGAATATAGAACTTTTTTATTAAGATGAGGTAGAAGGAATAACTAAATCTAAATATTCCATGATTTCTCATTCTAAAGTAAGAGGCTTTCATTCTGATACTTAGAGAATAGCTTTAAACTACAGGGCATTTCAGATTGTGGAAGATAAATTAAGAAGGCATAGTAAGTAAGTTGGTAATCAAGTATGCACTTTTGAAAGAACCTATTTTCAACTGTTTGCCCAGTCTAGCTGTGAATGTGCACCTGACAAGTTTGATAATGAACACTACCAATGGCTGGGGAAGCAGAACTGCTCCTTCTCCTTTCTTCCCCCCATCATTCTCTCTGCTCACTCCCAAACTAGTGGTCTTCAAAATCAGATCTGTAGTAGGTTAGGTAACAGGGAGCCCGGCTCAGTGACCAGAACAGCCATATTGGTGATGCTGATGCTGATTCATTGATTTAAAAAAAAAAAAAGTGAATTCTCTCCCAGCTAGAAAAAATATTTCAAGGTCAACTTGTGTGTGTGTGTGTGTGTGTGTGTGTGTGTGTGTGTGTGTATGTGTGCATTTTAAAGAACAAAGCCCAAAAATATTAGCTCAGCTTTCATAAAGGGGTAGTAGGTTATTTTGAGCTTGTAGTCATTCTAAAATTGAACCTGAAGCACACTTCTTGGACCAAACACTCCCTACTCCTATCTATTTTACAATAGCTTCTCTCTGGGTTGGAATCAGGAGTCTTGAGGTGGATAAGGGAGCCACTGTGGCATGCTGTTAGAAAGCAATTCTTGCATTTTGGATGCCTCTTTCTTTTCTTTTTCTATTAGAGACTTTTTATTTTTACATTTGAACTTAGCTATTATCGGAGGAGCTGGGTACAGACTGCAGTCTGTCAGTCTGTTCTTTTCTACCAGATAATGCTCTTAGAAGCTCATTCTTCCCCTATGTTGAAATTCCCACTTCAGGACTCTGTTCTTTCCCTGGGCCAACCGTACCCAGTGCCTCAGGGTATCTACCAGAAGAGATTGTTCTTGTTACTCATTTAAAAATAAAACCTTCATATTAGGTGTTTGCAGCAACATAATTTTTAGGGCTAAAATTTCTGGTCGAGATTTTGTTGTAGTGTAGCTTCTTGCAGCTCAGGCTGATTAGTCTCAAGTTAAAAGTTAAGTGTCCAGTATTGCCTAGAGTGCTCCCCCATTTTTTTAAAAAGAGAGCCAGCTTAATAAAGCCCCCCCGGGGGGGTAAGGTCCCAAGCTTAGAGTGGCACTTGATAGATGTAGAATGTTTAGTATCAAACCAGTGCAAAAAAAATCTCCAAAAGTGAATACATATAATTCAAACGGTATGGGCTGTGTTTCCTTTATTTTTTATTCACATCACACACACACACACACACACACACACACACACACATACCCCAATCAAGTAAAACTTCAGTTTTTTAGTTTCCTAAAATAATAATAATAAAAAAACTGATTTATCCCCCCCCCCCGCCGGTGTCTAGCAGAGGTTCCCTTTCAGAGTTAAGGTATAAGAACGTTCCCCTTGAAAGGTTTTCCTTGGAGACTCCAGCGCTCCGGGCTCCCATTCCACAGCGGAAGGGACCTCTTTTTTGTCCCCCTCCCATTTCTGTGATTTCTGGGCACCAAAATGGACTCTTTCCAAATCAGTGGTAAAATGTGGAGCCTCGGGGCTAAGCTTGGCGTCCTTAGGTCGCATTCTAACGACATTTATTTTATTTAGAGCGCAGTTTGCATAATACAATTACAAGGATCCTTTACTCTCCTGCTCTCTCCAAATGCTGCCCAGCAAGGTCTTTCAGAACACGGAAAGGCCTGCAGGAGTCGAGTTAGCATTGTCTCTTCCCTCCCTCCCCCAACCACCTCAAGTACAAGAAAAAGGGACCGCGAGGTAAAAAAAGGCCAAGTGAGAAGAAGGTGAAAGGAGTGAAGTGGAGAAAGAAAGAAAGAAAAAAAAAGCGGACAGGAAACTGGAGATAGAAAAAGATAGGAGAGAAACAGGGGTGGGGGAAAAGAACCCTCGAATGCTGAGTCATCCGCACAGGTCACTAGAAACCGGGTGTAAATCGCACCCATCTCCAGGGTTTGCCTCTCACTGGGCCAAGGGAGCTGGGGCTTTCAGCTCGGCGCCGCCCGCCCGCCTTTGTCACCAGCACGGTGCGCGCAGCCACCGGCTCCCGCGGCGGGCTTTGTTCAGTGGGAGCCGGGCAGAACCCGCGTCCAGCCGCGTCCCCGCCCTCCCCGGGCTAAGGACGGAGGGGGTGGGGACCGCGTGACAGGGATGGGGACCGGAGTAGCACCAGCGGGCGCCCGGGACCTCTTCTCTTCGCTCCTTTTCGTAATTGAGCTGTTCTCCCCTTGGGGAGGGGACCCGGCTTGGTGGGAGGGGAGACCGGATAGGGGGAGCGTTCTCAGGCCCTCGCCAGGGCAAGGGACAACTCTCCGTGCATCTGTGCACGGATTTTTTTCAAATCGTATGTATGTATGCATGCAGAAATGGATGGATGCATGGATGGATGGATGAAGACAAACGTTGAACTGGGTCCCACGTTCTAGGCTTTCTGGCTTAGGTTTGGCGGCGGCTGGGCATCACAGGTGAAGGCTTCTCGTCACTCCCTAAGATCTGTTCTCCAGAGGGGCTTGGGGGCCACGGGTAGGCGCTGTGGACGGACTCGGGGCGGAGGAGGCTGACACCCGCAGCGCGCAGCTCTCGGTGGTGGAGGCCTGTGGTGGGGGACAAAGAGGTAGACACTGGAGCAAGCAGAGATCAGCGCGCAGCGCACCCACGCAACTCTGCGCGCACCCCGCGGGGCAGGGGGGAGACGCTCCCGCGGAACCCCTACTTCTCAGAGCCCAGGCTTCTGCCTCTGGAAAGTTCGGCTGGTGCGCAATCCTCTCTGTTGCTCCTACCAGTACATTTAGCTAGCAGCGTGCGAACGAGTGTCGCCCTCTCCGAAGCCACCCCCTAAAGGTGTGGGCATCTTGTAAGAGTTGCTGCTCTGTTATTGTTTGTCAAACAGGCCCTTTCTCTTGGGAGAGGGTCGAGGGGCATGTGGTGGATCCCGGGCCAGGATTACATTAATCAAAGCATTATTTCCCTAGAGAAGCCGAACACAAATGAGAGTAAATCCTGATAAAATTGGATCGCGGAGAAATGGAACGCTTTAAGTAATCTGCGTTGCCAAAAGAGAGAGGGGGGGGGAGAGAGAGAGATTCACATTTAAAAAAAGCTATGCGTTTTAAGGCAAAATCTGTACATCTTTGGCCTTAGCTTGGCTGCTGGGTCTAGGTCAGTGGGTCTCCTTTAGTGAAAAAGGGACGTGGTCACTGTGGGGTTCAAGGTTCACAAAATCAGGTTTCTGGAACCCAAGCCCCTGCCAGTCCTTGAGGAACCCCCAGGCCGGGCCAAGTCCTTATGGGCGCGCCTGTGCGGTTTTGAACTCTTGTTTCTCTGGGAACGTGGCCCTCAGTTTCCCGTGTGATCGGGTTTTAGGGTGGGCAACACTCCATCTGTGTGTGTAGGGAGTGCCAGGCGAGGGTGCGGGTAACCCTCCCCCCCATCCCTACTTTTTGTCCTAAGGTCCACTGAGTTCGCGTCCTCAGGGTGCATTCCCAGGTGGCCTCAGGTCGTTGCTCTCGGCCCGGGGAAGAGTTTGTGTTTGGGGAGACCAGTGGGGAAGCCAAGAGCGAAGTTCTCCTGAGAGACTTCTGGTCCTTTCTTCCCCCCCAGGAAGCAATACTTGCACTTCATCCTCAAGTGGTAGGAAACTTTCCGATGCCTTGTGCAGCTCTGCAGGAGAGAAAAAAGGAAAAGCTCTCCCTCCCAACCCCACCGTAAGAATGGAATCAAACTGGAGAGAGATCCCCCCCAGCCACCCCAGGCCTCTTCCAGCCCCAAGGGTAGGAAATCGGACTGCGACGCCCGCGGCCCTTGATGGTGACAAGCGTTGACAACGGCCGGCCAGACTCTTCTGGTGAGCACTAGCCTCAGTTTCCCCTCCCTCCCCCACCCAATAGGAGAGGCGAGGGGTGGGGAACCCCTTGGAGTTCGACCCCTACTCTGAGTCAGGCTGGCAAGACTCACGCAGGGCGCCCAACGCGCTGCGCCCTCTGCAGGTAGGCGCCGGAAGGGCACGCGCTCCTGCTCCGGCCGCGAGGGGCCGCGAAGGTGCCCAAATCCAAGCCACCCGCCCTCCCCCCACCCCTCCTCCTACCGCTCCGCGCGCACACGCACAGCCGCCGCTCCAGGTACGCGGCGCCTGCGGGCTTTCAGGGGAGTTTGTGACGCGAGTGGTGCGAGACGCCGGACTGGCCGGGCGGGAGGGTAAGAACCAGGCAGTGCCACCCAGGGAGGCGTCACCCACCTCCCCAGACCCTCTCTCGTCCCTGGAAGGCTGCTCCGCTCCCGCCCCTTCGCTAGTCTGTCCCCGGGGTAGCGATCGCTGCTGCCAGCTGCGGTGCGCGGCGTTCCCAGCCGGCGAAAAGCCGGGCTGTCACCTTGCAGGGCGGGGCGGGGCTGTCTCACCTAGACAAGCCTGACTCTCGGAGCGGTCGTTTCATTCGTGCTCTGGCGGAAGGAGCGGTGTGCGCGTGTGCGCGCGCGAGTGCGGTGCGCGCGCGAGTGCAGAGCGCGCGCAGGGCAGGGTAGGGCAGGGCAGCGCAGGGCAGCGCAGGGCAAGAGGAGCTGCAGAGGCTCTGGCACCAGTCTGTCCTTTCTAGTTAAACCTGCAGACGTAGAGCTTATCAACACCCTTCTTCCTACAGCTCTCTATTTGTGCATCTTGCTTCTTTCTCTATTTGGTTCCCAAAGAGATCTTGGTTGTGACCCGGGGATGTTTTAGGGCTCCCTGCCCCAGGAGGACCAGGGTAAAACGGAGAGGGGCAGAGTCAGCTAGAATTACCCCCTGAGAACATTTCCATCATTCAGCTTGCTCTTAGGACTGGGTTCCACACATCAGGAAGCCACATTAGGGGGTGGATATCTGCTTGCTTTCTGCCTTGGCCTCAAGGAAGTTGTTATTGTTGTTACTGTTATTATTATTGTGGGGAAAAAAAGAGAGAAGGTAGGACGTAGTCTTTAGCTGACCAACTGTGGTCCCATGGTGAGATTTCAACTTACTCTTTTCTAGTGATGGGACATTGTAGGGGGAAATAAAGACACCCACACTTTTTCAGTTTTGAAATCATACTCCCTATCTGTGATATCTATAATTTCATACAAAGCAGGAGATGTCAGTGATCTCTCAGAGAGATATCAGAGAGACAGAGAAAGAGGGAAGGGAGACTAAGACTGGTGGAAAAAAAAAACAACAAAGTTGGGCCCAAATAAATTCCTTCTTCTTAAAACATTAACTAGGGACTCCCTGTTTTCTCCTTCCTGGGGACCCACTCAGTTTATTTTTCAACGGGGAAACAGGATAGAAAAAGTCAGGAAAAAAAGGGCTTAACTGTTTTCTCCTTCACGGAATCCAATTGCCATACTAATTTTGATGATTGGAGGTGATGACCACAAAACAAAACAAAAAACCCCCAACAACTTCCTAGTGTTTGGTCTGTCTTTTCTTGGCCATAACATTTATACCTGAGGCTTTCCCATACCTTGGATATATATTTGTTTCTTGGATCAGTTAATATTAGATGCTTTTTCTTGATTGTAATTCTTAGTAAGATCTCTTGTCCTGGAGAAATATTTTAAGTAATATAGACACACACTTTCTGGCTGCCCCAAGAGGCCCTCAGCAGACAGTATCTTGACACAAGATTTCAATCACTCCTTTTCATAAGATAAATTAGAGGCAGTTACATTTTAACAAAGAATGTTAATGGTAAAATGTTAGTGTTTCAATAGATGAGCTTTTGTTTTTAGAATCAAAGTTTAGCTTTCCTTTGAATTATTTATCAGGCTGTTTGCCCATAGGCCTTCCTAAGAGAAGGCCAAGGTAAAGGGGGTGGTTTTACTTTTAATTATTTAAAACATATGTTAACATAATATTTTAAAACTGGCTTTTTAGAAAAACAACAAATAATTGTCTGTCAACACCCACCTTTGGGATTGTAAAAAACAAAAATCAAAATACAACTTAATTACTTTCATACACAACAGTGCTCAGTTAACAGTTAACTAAAATATTGCCTGGCATTTCTTCGTAGCTCCTCCTCCTCCTTAAGTATAGTACAGTTTGGTAATATACTACACATATTTACACACGATGTAAATATACATATGCACAAGGGTAGATGTTTATGTACATAACATAACAAAATATATACATACCACAACTGAATACATTTGCATAGAACATGCCCATGTGCGATGTACCAAACTTCCATGATTAACAATACATTTTATAACAGATAGTCTCAAAATAAGAGGATGTGAATCTTATTCACGTCAGAAAAAATATTCAAAATTTCTTTTCAAGTGTGAATTGTGTTCTTTGTAGATGACATCACAGAAGTTATTAAAAATAGATTTCTGGTACTATTTTAAACATACTCTATTAAAAAGTACTATGAACTTGAATGTTTAGTGTGAAACTAAACAGCAGCATACTTTTAAAAAAGACATTTAAAATAGAAATATTCTATTTAAAGTCAGATTTTTTTTTTTGTCCCCCATACATTAAATACGATTGTTTTAGAACAAAACTTTTTCATAGGCCCGGGAAGTAGCAATTTGATTCCATTCTTTTGTAAAGAAAACATTTTTAGTTATTTTTAGGGAAATTTATTTGTATTAAAATACATTTTGTTAGTCTGGTGGTAATTCATACTACAAAAGCAAATTTAAAGCATACATTTCATACCTGAAATGATTCATATTATATATGGAGTGACCTGTTTCTTATATGATTCTTTTAAAGTGTATCGGTGTCTTTGGATTCTTAGACATTTTTGTGTTAAAATGAAGATTGTAGTTAATATGGATATATTGGCATTTATTGGCAAGGGTCCAAATGCTCATTTGTGCCTGACAAATGTTAAGAGATGTTATAACTGAATTTACCTTTCAAAAGCTATTTGTTCTAATGCAAAAGAGGAACTAAAATGATAAAATTTTGAAGTGTTCTCAAGTATGATCAGGAGCTCATTCCTATAATAAGTTAATTTTACAACATGTTTGCTCTGATTTTTCATGTTTATGAAAGAATATATTTAGTTTTAGAAAAATATATAGACAGGATGCTATTGATTTCCTAGTATAATTTATTATTATTTAATTTGGGGAGAGTATTTAAAAGGCTCATAACACTCCAGTAGTATCTACATTATAGCTATGAGCTTCTAAAAATAAAAATCAAATTAGCTGAATTGTTTTTTAAGGTTTGTTTCTTAATCACTTAAAAAGTTTAAAGCTAAAATGATGGAAATATTGCAAGTTAAAATTAAATTACAAAAACTTATTCCTTGCTAAGGGGATTTTCTTTTCTTTAGTTAGGGGTTTAACTGCAAAAATATTAGTTTTTTTATTTAAGAACGTTTCCTACCTGATTTTGTGGTGTGATATGGAGAGATATAGTTTATGAAATGAATTTAAACTGTACAGTGTTCATTCAAAAATTGAGTTGAGGAGTTATTCACTGCAAAATTGTAAAAGGATCTTTTCTGTCATGTTAATTAAGGAAGTGGGTAAAAGTCTGGTTTACCAGGCTCAAATTACATACGTAGAAAGATTTGTAAGAATACATACTTTGGCATTATGTGGGCTAAAAGCAGACAAAACTATAATATAGCAAATAAAAAACTCCCCAGAATTTGGGCATCCAAGATTTAATTTCATTAAAAAATTTGGCAGTTAAAGAAAAGAAGGAAAATGCTTATTAAATCAGGGTAACTACAAAATGTTGACAGATCTCAAGTTTCATATCCAACTGGGTCTTAGGAAACTGCTGGGGTGTTGGTGGATTCAAGCTATTCTGTCAGACCATTTTTCATAGTGAATTATCTTTTCAGTACTTTCAGATTTAAATGCAACTTCATGGACGAACCCTTTCTGCCTCTGTTTCCATCTGTCTCTGTCTCTTTTTTTTCCTTCCTTCCTCCTTCCTTCCCTCTCTCCTTTCCTTTCTTCCTTCCTATATCCCTACCCCAAGTCTATAAGCACTTAGACTGTTTAGAAAGGCTCATAGAGACTCCAGGGGATGTAAAACCTTCAGCTCTAGTGGTTTAAGATTAGCAACAAATATATGGTGTGCAAAGAAATATCTGTGCTTGCTCAAAGAATTGTTATTATTACTATTATTATTTCTCACCCAAGTACTAGTATTTCTAAAAGAGAGAAACAGGTAGTGTCTATTAAAGCAAAAATCCTTGGAGAATTGAATTAGTTATTTGGGTAATTCAGGTATTCCTGTTCTCTCTTTCTCTTAGTTACTGAGAAAAAAAAATCTATCTTAACTATCATTAACTTGTAAGATATGGACTGATTTGACAATATATTGCTCGATTCCCCATTTTACCAATGCTAATAGAGATAGCCACCCCCTTTTCTCCAGGGAACCTGCATTCAGGTCATTGTCTGGGTGAAGAAATTTACCTCAGATATAAATCAGGGGAGTTGAGGGGCCTGATTTGCCAGGCTTTGCTAAGGACAGTGATTGAAGTTATTAGATAATTATTCACCTTCTTCTTTGCCTCCTGAGAGGAGGAGACACATGCACATAATATAAAATACTTTAAATTAATATTAAATAGTCCAAGTGGGATCACTAAAGTTATTTACATTTAGCAATGAATTAAAATGTTAGCATTCTACGTTTAATGAATTAGGGGCTTAGTCTCCTTATACGATCTGACTCAGAAACATTTGCTGAACAAACCTTCAAGAGCTTTTTAGTTTAGTGAAAGTTGGTGAGCTGAGAAGTACGGTCCCTTTACTTTCTGTAGGGGACAAAGTGGAGACAGTCAGAAAGAGGACAAAGTTAAAATGTTGTAGGTGGTAAGTGGGCCTGGAGCCCATTTTAAAGTTGTCTTTGGAAGATTAGGAAGAGATTGAACATAATTTGGATTTTGCTAAAGAACATTGGCAAGCATTAATCAAAGGCAGGTTTCAAAAAGATATGTAGTGGCAAATATTATTTAAAAAAGAGAAATTTAGGCTTTGTACTAGTAAACTTTGGTTTCTTCTTCATTTTTAAAGAAAATTTTATCATTTGATTTTGAATTCATCTAATGAAATATTCTTCTGACACATAAAGTATGACTCCTCTAAGAGCAAGTAAAAATGTGAGCTAGAGAAGAGGAAAATGTTGTTGATTTCTTTACATATATGTCTTGATCATATATATATATATGTATATATAAATTTTTATACTAATAGAAACTAGGTGAACCTTGAAATGCTGTGAATGATAAATTTGGGAAATTTTTAGTAATTCCTATATCTAGGTGCACATAAAAAGAGAGAAATACTTAATGTATTTAAGAGATGTTTACATGGATATTAAACATACAGTGATTA